GTTATCAAACTTCAAGTGATTTTTTCTACATTTTTAGAAGCAGACACTCAGGAATCGATTATAGCAACTGAAGGCAGCAGTAAGCTTAGCTCGTTAGCAACAAACGATATTTCAAGAGTTTCAAAGGACGATGAAGATAGTGCATCGGCGAGATCGGCATTGAGGAATAAAGAAGTTGCGACTGTAACAGAAAAAACGGAAGCCAGCGATATTGCTAGCGTTTCGACAAAAAGAGGGCTTTCGTTGCAAGAACAGCTCGCTGCATATCAAGCCTTACACAAATTAGAAACACCGCAAAGTGCAGAAAAAGCAACGAAGATTGCTCATCCTGATGCGCCGGAAGGTGATTCGGACAGCCCCCCTTCTAGCGAAAGAGTTCGAAAGTCAGCACCTGCTCCTTCTCAAAAGGATGAAGCTAAGGAACAACAGCAGGAAGACGCTGCTCAGGCCGATACGCAAAAGACAGAGGAAACAGAACAAAACAAAACCGAAGAAGGAAGTGTATTTTTTTACGACACTCCGCATAATCAAGTTTACAAGCCTCGACCCGAAACAAATGATCGGGATTATCCCAAAAGCATACGAATTACAGATATTGGAGAGGAGATGGAAAGCCATTACCTTTGGTAAATTTTAGAATTGGTTATAGGATATGGGAACCTTGAACGACATATTTCAGATACGATCATTCAACAGTTACCAAAAAACAATGAGAAAACTTGATAGACAAAAGTGAACTTCAAATAAAATTTGAATTGATTTTTGTTTTTTAAAATGCAAAGCAAACTGCTTATCATTTCCCATTTGTATTTCCGTTCCTGGATTTCAATTTGCATCTTCCCCAAAGGTTCCGGAATAGTTTCCAATTTACCAAATTATTTTATAATATCATATAACAACGTTACTTCAACATTGAGAGCACAACGAATGGCAATTGCTCATTCCAATTTCGTTGGAATACAACTCAACATGCAGTTCCAGAAACATACCGAGTTAAGGTTTTCAACCAAAATAAAGTGTGAAAACGTTCGAAAGATGTCGGTTGTTACCTAGCAGAGAGAGCAGCTTGAATTTAGTTCTTAACATGAGAAAATAAGATTTTTCGGACAATGGCAGATGAAAATTCAGATCAAGAATCTTTTTTGTAAAAAAAGAATTGAATTAGGCCATGTAACAGTTAATGTA